TCCTCATAAACAGAATTAAGGCTTTGAAATCTATCCCCCTTTATGCAAAGAGGGATTTTCCTTGTTTTATTAAAACCCTCAAACTGTTCAATGATCTTCTAATTTCCCGAGACGCAATAATAAATGTCATTTACCGTAAGTTTAAGTCAACCACACATTTTCTCTGTTCTACCAACAGAGACTTCATGAGCTGGACATCCTTGATCAGGCCGGCAGTTCCAATCAGCGAACGGAGGACTGAAAGTCACTACAGGAGATAATGCCTACTGAACAGAGTTGTTTAAACTGATTTTTGCAGAAAGAATTAAGATATACTTGTGAGATGTTACTTCAAAGAACATTTCCAATCATCTGCCTCATGTTTCCGCTTTATAAGTCAGTGAACAAAAACTTTAAATAAACTGAGTTTATTCTTCTCCTTATGCAGGTCAGTACTTTATACAATCCAGGATGTGGTGCTACTGAAGCCCTTTGTTTAAGCTGGACCAGTAGTCAGGCACAGGGAGAGAACAGAGGTGTGATAACAAAACAACTACACGCACAAATATGTAAGAACTCTACAGACCTTCATTCACATGCTCAGATAAATAAAACAGCCTGGTCATAAATACAATGCTCAATTAGTTTTAAGGCAATACAAACAGAAAGGCTTATAAAAGTTAATGATTGTATAATAAAAGCCTACGTAAACCTGCTCCCTAAAGCTCATATAAAATAGCATTTTGCTTAATACTCTGTCCTCTTATAATTATTGCATGGGGTGATAACAGATCTATGGGTTTCTTATTTAAATACACATTTCCTTCCTTTCATGTTTTCCAAACACACAAATAAATATTGTAACTACAAACAACAGCATAAACAAATGACGAAATGAGGATTTCAGGAACAGTTTAGCAGCTGGAACTGTTTGGGTAAACTTTCCTTTCCGGTTTTAAATGGAAAACTGCTGCAGTTTAAAAAAAAAAAAAAATCATAAAAGAAAAACAAACAAAAACATACTATACTTAAGTACCACCCGTAATACAAGGTCCATCTCGTCTCCTTTTGAAGGAGTAAAAGTGATACTGAGGGAGTGAAAGTCAAAGCAATGAATGTGAAACCGATGCAGCATAAAGTCAAGCAGGGACTGGGATCTGACAGTTTTTAGCAAATGGCTTTGATCTGATTGATTTTTTTTATTTGATCTCTTCGCTGATCAGTGAATGTACCATATTAGCACACCGCCATATCATAGCAAGAAGTTTCAGTGTGGATGCTTTTACAGTATGGAGACTCCATTTACAGGATAGATAATGCTAATGAAGCTCAAAAGTTGTAAAAATGTATTCAAAACAACACTTTTCCAAAAGTGATCAGGTGCAAGAAAACGAGAATGGGGCTCGATCAGCAGATACAGGAAGCTTTAGATTTAAATATTGGCATGTTAGACTGAATGCATCGGAGGCTGACAGCAATATATGGAAAGGCCAACATCTAGGCTAGGATTGTTAATCTTTAGAGAATATCTCCTGTTTTTTTGTAATGCTAACACCACCATGTTAACAGCTATAAAACTACTAATGACATTTTAAATGTCAAGTTGATAATGGTGATAAAAGCATCCTGTTTTCGCACGCAGTCTGACGCTGCTTCCTTTACTCTAACTACTGATGACCACTTGGGGCAAGAAAAACGGAAAAATATGTTTTGAATACAGTTCTTATACCTTTTTATGGCCTATTTTTCCCCAAAGTAAAATGGGGTTGGTATAAACACAGAAGGTCAAAGCTTCACTGAAACCAGAGATCGGATCGGATTTAGTCCACCAAAGTTCTGATGGTTGGATCTATAGCACAAAACCATTACTAAACCAATAACTATCAGGTATCAAGATAAAACTAAAAGTAAGCTTAGCTTTGCTAAGCCCTCCTGAAGCATTGTCACTGAGTAATGCTGGAAGAGTAAAGGGCTGGTTATGCTCCTGCAGCAGTGTGTCGCAGTGAGCTTGTTGCAGGCATGATGCAGATATTTTTGATTTATGTGCAAGTTTGCAGAGGGACAATCACGAACTAGCTGTGGGTCAGATACGGCCGAGGCGGTGAGGAAGTGGAAAAACGCAAGGGCCAAGTTCTACGGAGAGATACGAGTGCGAAAAAGAGCGGGAATCCAGGTGTAAAAAGGGTTGCAGCGTTCTCGTGCACCTCACTCTTCTAGCTGGTCCATCTTCAAGGGGCACTTTCCACAATGGCGGTCATAGAAACAGAACAAGCCAGTAGGGTACCAAACAGGAAATACTCTTAGTGTAGAGCGGATATAGATTTGACCAATCAGAGGCCTCCTGTCTGCGGTCACCTACAATTTGGGAGAGTTGCACCAGAGTGTCTGCGGAGGGGGCGGGGTCATATGTGCGTTAGCTGCGACACACATGCAGACAACCTGGTTTCTGAGTATAAACCAGCCTTAAAGCTTTGTCATATATCAGTGCAGCACAATAACGACTCTCCACTCTTCAACATGTTTATATTTCGAGATCAAAGCTCATAAAGCACTTACTTAAACTGTTACTTTAAAATACACAAAGCCAGATGGAAAAGGTCACTGCAGATGTTTTAGGACTGAGCAGATGGAAAGTTGCAAGTGAAGGTCATCTTTCTGACCTGATATGCTCCATTATTCATCGTTAAATAATAATAAAAAAAATGTTAGTCTTGTTAAAGTACTCCATCCTCCCCTGATGTGTCCTCTGCTCCTCAGCTCTTCTCCTTGTGAGGGCTGGGACTCTTTCCTGCTTCTCCTTTATGACTCAGCCTCTTCAGCACCTTGATGGGTTTAAACTTTTTCCCTTTTTTCTTCTGGTGGTCACTGTCTGGATCCTTGTGAAAGTCTGGCCAGGAGAGGATGGAAAAAAAAAAGTGAAATTACAAAAAGATTTAAACCAGATTAAGGAACTCAACCATAATAATAACAATTATCCTACCTTTTTTCTTCAACATGGCCTCCATTAGTTTGTCTTCCTCCTCTTCCCTGTAACACAGTGACCATAAATATCACCAATCAGTACATACTAGTACAGCAGAGATGTGTGGTAGTTGTGAAGGTTGTGGTTATATTCGGATACCTCTGCCGCTCCTGATCCATGTTGTTAACTATTTGGTTGCGCTGTTCAATGATGGTAACTAGCTCAGCCATCAGCTCCTGCTCCCGACTCTTGTCCTCCTCAGTCCAGTCTTTTTCTAAATTAAAGGAGAACAGTTAACAAATATTTCCCACTTTAATCTCGGATTAATTTCTAGCCTGTATTCACAGACTAATTCCTGGGTTTTTTGACCAGAAGAACCCCTCATAAACAGTAGGCGTAAAAAAGGCTGCAACAACAGCAAACAAAAAAATATATACACAGAAGCACTGGGTTTAAATAATAATTTTAAAAAGATTTGCCATCTAATATAAATGGATCATAATTAATTTCCCTCTTTAGCTCAAACTTTTCTGTAACTCCAGTCCAAACCAACAACTAGACAGACTCGTTTCAAATGGTCTGCTTCCAAACAGATTGGTGTGTTTTAGTTTAAATAAAAACCAGCCTCAGTCCAACCCAGCTGCAGGAAACATCTATATTTTTGGACTAAATGAGCCACCGTAGTATGCCCTGTAGCAATAGTTAATTTTAGAAGTCAATCATTTCAAATGTGTATCATCAGATGTTCCAAAATAAGAAACAGAATATCATTGATTCTGTTTTAAATGAGCTGTTTTTTGACACACTGAGTGTGCAGCTGTAATGCACACTTGGATGCTGGGGACACTATAAACTATAATCGTTTCCACCTTTCAGGTAAGTTCTGAGGTCTTCCATAGTAATTTCCATCCAACTGGAGCAATGATCATCATATCCATTGTTTTGTTAAGTCATAGCTCAATTACCAAAAGTACAAAACCCAACTGTTCCATGCAATAATAAAGTCTTCTTTAAGTCTGGACCAAGAACGTGGAGCAAAATACATTCCTGATGGTGTGAATACACCCTTAGATTTTAAGGTAAATCTTAAGTGTAGATGTAGTTAATGAAAGTTTTGATAGAATTGAGACAAGGAGATTATAACCACCTGGTTTGTTGAGAAGACACCTCAGCTCATACTCCACATCAGCTTGCCTCTCCTCCAGGTTCTGCTGCTTCGCACTGCATGAAGAACATTAGGTTAGAAACAAAACACTGTATCCTAGTTATGTCATCCTTTGACCGTGGGGTAAATGCAGCAGATTAAATATTTCTATTAGTTGCAAAGTGATCTCGTCTCTCTCTAGGGGAATCCATTGCCATGCATGAAGTGTTGAGATTTAAATTCTTTTAGAGGTTAATTTACAGAAGCATCAACAATATGGGCCAGTAAATAAGCTGCAGGGATAAAAAAAACTTTCTGAGAGTTTTTGCATCCTATCAGTTTTTAGAGCATTGTTGTCATTAAAGATGAATTTATTCATGATCAAGAATTGAAATATCTTTAGTTTAAATTAAAGTGAAAAAATATTTCCCTAAATCTTTTAACATAACTTTCTCCTCTCCTATCAGCCACAGACATCTTGTTGAATTAAAAATAATGTTAGTCTTATTGCTGCTGTCTGTATTAATAATAACTATGAACAAGGTGACAGACTGAACACAATTTTGCAATAATTACCATGGTTTACTTTTGACCTTTTTCAGGAATGTGGTTAGTAAGATTTGAAACACTGTTCCATATTTAAGCAATCAAAAGTGTCAATAGCCAAATAGCTGCAGCTATTTTTGTTTCTGCTGTCATTACCGTAAATCTAAATTTGTTTTCCTTTGAAGTCTGATGATAAAAGGGATAAAGATAAATGTTTTTTAAAAACATCTGTGTTGTGTAGTTTGACACTTACGTGTAGACCAGCTCCGCTTCACGTCGCACTAAATGATGTTTATCATGAATCAGAGTGAACCAGTCTACAAGGAGGCGCTCTTCATCCTCATCTTCATCAAATACACAGAAGAAAAGCATCACACGCATTAAACAAGCAGATTAATGAACACTGAATATCAAACATCTCTAGATACCACTGTTAAAAGATTTCCATGATGAAACAATTAGACCATAATTAATGCTACCAGAACCTTTTCCATTTTAAACATTAGATGGAAAAAGTTTAATACAAAACTACAACAACATAGTTGACTGTAAACACACCCTTGATCCGACATTTGATTAAATGCACTGTCCTACATTTAGCATTATTAATATTTGTTCTGGCTGCAAATCTTCTCAGCATCCATTCAAGTAAATCAGTTTGATTGTTTTTTTGTTGTTTTTTTTCGACGCATCCTTGGACTCAGGCTGATGCTAAAAATTAAAATCTGTCATTCTTCAGCTTTAAGGGCCAAAACTAACCACACTTTAGAAATGTTCACACATCAACAACTTTAACAAAAAATGATTCCTTCGCAACAGATGTGACCTCACAGCATGATGCTGCCATCACTGTAATTCACTGGGGATATGAGTTTCTTTAAGGTATGAGATCCAATCAAATCATCGTCTGGAGCCAAAAAAAAAATCAACGCAGCTTCATCAAACCATAATATGTTCTTCAGTAAGATTATAGAGCATTTTTCCAGAAATTCTTTTTTTTTTAGAAGAAAAAGCTTCTCTCTCTTTATTCTCTGCGGCGTCAAGCGGAACCAAACCAGTACCAGTTGGACGTTCCTTCAGTTGCTCCTATGTTTATCAAATGTTGAAGAAACATACAGTTTTTGGAATTAATATTTCATCACGGTCTTTACTGAACCATGGCACATTTATCTTTTTTAACCATTTTGAAACTCAGTCTTTCACTTTGGGTCTCAGCCCTTAATTTCAGAATGCGTCCTGGCTGCTATTCTGTGTAGTGACACATAAGGGATGGGTTCAACACAGAGGACACATTTTTCCAATTAAGCTTATAAATTGAGCCTATAAAAGGGATAGTTCTCTTTTCCTCTATGACTGATTCATTTGGTAGGGTTAGATCATTTTGATCCTTTGTGATTTCTTTAAAACTTTAGGCTTAGCAAAAGGATACGATTATAAATAAAATCCTAAATTCAAAAATCACTGAATGCTGGAATCAAAGGACTGAAAAAGAATTAATTTGAGAGTCAGCGTTTTACACATTTTCATATAGATTATCTTGATGTATTTCTTTACAGGATAAAAGAACCAGCATGTTCTACAATCTTCCTTTCATTTTTACGTGACAAAAACATTTAGAGTGGGGAGAAGACTTCTTCATCACTACTGTCCCGAATGAACGCGGTGCACGTGTGATACCGTTAGGGGTGTCTCTCAGCTTCTTCTCCAGCTCCACTCCTCTCTGTTCCAGCTCATCCAGCTGCTTCTCCAGCTGTAGCAGCTCTGCATGGATGTCATCTATGGGGATGTACTCATCCGACTGCACCTGTAGGATTGTTTGGAGCCGGGTGAGAGCTTATCCCTTTGAGTTGGAACTGAAGTAGCATTCATTTTTGCCAGTATTTTCAGCCAGGTTTTTTCTGTACCTTCCGTTTGATAAGCGGGAAGCCATGTCCGGGTGCCGGGGGTCTGGCGGGGCGGGGCCCTCTTGAAGGTCTGTTTTCAGAATTTGGGTTAGAGGGAGATGCTTTCCTGTTGAAGGGATTCTCCTTACAAAACCGCTAAAAAAAAATAAAACAGTAGAAGCATTAGTGCTTTGATGCAACACAGAGGATCCTTATAATGACCTGATTCTAAGGTGGTGTTATTACTTTGTTATTTGACTGTGTTGCTAGTGGGCTGGGAGTGGTGCTTGGTCGTGGTGGTTTGGGTCCGGTGTTGCGGCTGGTCTGTGGAGTGGCCGGAGCAGAACTGGCATTTGCAGACATAGGAGAGGGGCTAGCGCTTTGAGAGGTTTGGTTAAGGAGATCTGATGATGAGGAGGAAGATGGGTTGTCGCTGGGGGAACACATAGAGGGCTCTGAGACGCTCTTGGTGAAGCTTTGCTCCTGCTCGCTGCTGGCACTGGCACCCAGTGGGAGCTGGGATGAGCTGTGGTCTGAGGCAGAGGATAAACTCTCTATGCTTAGAGCTGGAGAGGGAGAACAGGAGGAGGGCTGCGAGTGAGACACAGCTGAAGAAGGTAGTTTTGTTAAAAAGGAAAAAAAGGCAAGAAAGCATGAACAGAAAATGAAATAAAGAAGCAGGAGGGGATAACATAGAAGCAAAGAAGAGTTGACATCCATTAGCAGCACATTGACTTTCTTTGTAACAGGCTAGTTTTTTCAGTTGGTTCACTATTTAAGAACAAAATAATCAGCTAGAGACAGCCACTAATCCTTTTTTATACTGACCAGAAGGCAGATAAGGATGGAGGGCAGCTGGACTTGGATAGCTGATCAGAATTAAGAACTTAAGAACCGAGTTTCACATCGCATTAGCTCTTAGATCTACAGAACTTTTTAGTGCTGGACTTAAACAGGCAAAAAACTCAAACACATCAAACTGAATTGACAAAAAAAAAAATCCTATATCAATATCTATTAAACCATTTTAGCAAAAATCTTTATGCATTAGTCAGACAGACCAGCAAACAATGTAAAGACGTTTTATCTGTTCTAAAATGACTAATACTGTGATCAGACCCACCTTGGTTGCCAGCAGGCGGCTGGGAAGGAACACGCGGTGCTGGCCTTTTCTTGCTCTTAGCGCTACCTGGACTGGCAGAGCGGGACGAGCTTCCTTTTGTGATGTTTGAAGCATCAGATGTCTGAGTGATGCTGTACCATGGGTGGGAGGCCGCCACTGTGGGTGGAACTACTCCTTCCTCACCTTCCTCTTCTTCATTTACCTCGTCATCCTCATCCTCAAAGGGATTGGAGGGCTGAGGGGGCGGGCTGGGTCCAGAGCCCTCCGCTTGGGAAGAAGACAGAGAGCCTGTGTTTGGGGGTGCTGCCATTCCAGGAGGGGGTGGGGGAGGGGCTTTCTTCCTCTTAGATTCTGATTGGACCAGGGCAAGCCAAGGTGGGTCTTTGGGTTTATGGGTGCCACTAAAGCCATGAGACACAGACGGTGGTGGAGGGGGGGTGTTACACAGAGGACAAGCACATAATGAATCCATACAGATATACCTAACGTTTTGTCACATAATGACCACAAACCAAGACAGACCAAAATAAATGTAAAATGGGAGGAAAATGATATACAGCTGGAAAATACAGGCATAATGGAAATATGGCAAGAAGATACCATGAAAGGATGGAAAAGCAGCAATATGCCTCTTGAATCTTTGCAGAATCACTGGGAAACTTGAT